GTTCGGGGGCGCTTTGCCGGGGCTGACCGACCTGGCCAGGCTGGCGGACGCCGAGTGGCTCGAGACGCAGCTGGCAGGCGGCTTCGACGGCTTTGGCGGCCTCCCGGGCCACCCGCTCCTACCCGCCGCCCACCCGGCCGCCCAGCCCCTCGAGGCGCTGCTGCGTACCGACCTGCTGGGCACAGAGCAGGCCGATGTGCTGCGCGACTTGGACCTGGACCTGCTCCGCGACCTGGACACGAGGGGCATGTCCTTCGCGGGCAGCTTCACGTCGGCGGCCTCGTTTGGCGGGGTGCTCGGCGGGTTGCCCGCCCTCAGCCCGCTCGATGGCTTGCCCCTGCTCGACGGCTTGCCCCTGCTCGACGGTTTGCCACTTGACGGCGGCCTGCCCGCGCTGCCCGATGCGCTGGGCGGCGACGCGGTGCGCGACTTGGACCCCCTCGTCTTGGGCCTCGAGTCGCCGGAGCACTTGTCGATGGCGTCGTTTGGGTCGGCGGTCTCGTTCGGGGGCGATTTGGCCGCCTACTTAGGCCCACTCGCGCAGCCCTTTGGGGCGGCGACGGAGCCGCTGCATGCGTTTGGACGGGGCGGCGCGCCCCGCCTGCCAGAGCTCGCGGACCTCGGGCCGACACACGGGCTACAGCTCCCGGGGCTGCTGGAGGTGGCCTCCACGGCGAGCTTTGGCTCGACGCTCTCGTGGGGTAGGGCGCATTTCGCCGACGGCACCGACGGTTTTCCAGCACTCGAGGCTGCCTTCGGTGTCGGCAGAGCCGGCGGGCAGTGGGCGCCCCACCCCGGCCTCGACGTGCCGGTCGACGAGCTCACGCTCTTGGACGAACTCGGCGTCGCCGGCTTGGGCATATCGGCGGCGAGCTTTGCTTCGGCTGTCTCGCTCGGAGCCCAAGCCTTCGCCCTCGGGCAGGGCCCCGCGGCCGCCGCTTTTGGCGCGGCGGGGACGGATGATGCCGGAGCGCAGTGGGCGCCCCATCCTCCGCATATGCCCGGCCTCGACGTGCCGGTCGACGAGCTCACGCTCTTGGGCGAGTTGGGCGTCGCCGGCTTGGGCTTATCTGCGGCGAGCTTCGCTTCGGCTGCCTCGCTCGGAGCCCAAGCCTTCGCCCTCGGGCAGGGCCCCGCGGCCGCCGCTTTTGGCGCGGCGGGGACGGATGATGCCGGAGCGCAGTGGGCGCCCCATCCTCCGCATACGCCCGGCCTCGACGTGCCGGTCGACGAGCTCACGCTCTTGGACGAGTTGGGCGTCGCCGGCTTGGGCTTATCTGCGGCGAGCTTCGCTTCGGCTGTCTCGCTCGGAGCCCAAGCCTTCGCTTTCGGGCAGGGCGGTTTTGCGCCAGTGGCGGCGGCGGCCCCAGTGGATGAGATCACTCTCTTGCGGCAGCACGCAGCCTTGCTCGGACAGCCCGGGACCCCGGCGCTGGGGCGTCTCGGCGGTGGTTTCATCGACATCGAGTTGATACCGCAGTCCCTCACGGGGCACAGCTTCGCGTCGGGGATGTCCTTCGGCGGTGGTGCCGAGCTGGCAGCTGCCCGCGACCTCATTGAGGGCACCGGCTTTACCGCTGTCGATCGCGCCTTTGCCGGCGGGCTCGCGGACGGCTCGCTCAGGCCGGCTCCGGCCTTGGGCGCCGTCCAGCTCCCCACCCCTGTTGGCGGCAAGGACGGGCTTGGCGCGGGCGGCGCTGACCTCGACGACAGCGCGGCCTTGTTTGACGAGCTGTACGCGGCCGCTGGCGGGCTCGACGACGCGTTTGGCCTCGAGCCTGTCGACCTCGCGCAGGCGGACTCGTACCTGGCCGAAGAGGACCCGACCCTCTTCCGCCTCGACCGGCGCGAGATGCAGCGCGCGGACGCCATCGACCTCCTCCCCGGTGTCGACGACATGCCGCTGCCAGAGGTTTACGGGTCTGCTGGCTTTGGCGACGACCCGCTCGGCTTCCTGATGCGGCACACGCCGCCGGCGACGGTGCCGACCGACAGCGTCAGCCTGCCGGAGCTCACCCTCGTACCCCCGGTGGCGTCGGGCGACTTTTTCCTCACGCAGCCGCCGCCAGCCTCGTCGGGCGACTTTTTCGTCGTCTCTCTGCCGCCGCTGGTCCGCCCGGGCGCCGCCTTCGCCTCCTTCCTGTCCTCCGCCCTGCTCCCGCCCTCGCCGCCCTCGCCGCCCTCGCCGCCCTCGCCACCCTTTTCGCCGCCCTCGCCGCCCTCGCCGCCCTCGCCGCCCTCGCCGCCCTCGCCGCCCTCCCGTCCGTCGCCGCCATCCTCGCCCTCTTACGTGGATGTGAGCATTGCGCCCTCTGTGTATTTTGGCTCGGTGGTGGCGGTGGTGCCGCCGTCGCCGCCGCCGTCCGACCTCGTCTGCAGCGACGAGTGCCCCTACGCCAAGGATTTCGTCTGCGACGACGGTGGGCCGAACTCCCAGTTCGCCGACTGCGAGTATGGCACCGACTGCGCAGACTGCGGGCCGCGCACGCTCCCGCCGTCGCCGCCGCTCCTGCCAGTCAACCTGCCGCTGCCGTCGCCGCCGCAGCCCGCGCGACCCGGATGCACCGCCTCTGTCGCGAGCAACTTTGACCCTCTCGCGACGCTGCACGACGGCTCGTGCGAGTACCTCCCCGGCGGCTGCACCGACCCCGATGAGTCCAACTACAACCCCGCCGCCGCGGTGGACGACGGCTCCTGCGTGCCGCACACGATCGGGTGCACAGTCCCCGCGGCGAGCAACTACCAGGCCAACGCAACCAAGGACGTCGGCGGGTGCACCTTTGAGGTGGACGGCTGCACGGAGCCGTCGGCGCTTAACTTTTGGCCGGCGGCGACGGCCGATGACGGGACGTGCATCGCGCGGCGGCCGGGCTGCATGGCGGGCCAGGCGTCAAACTACAACGCCGAGGCGACCGTGCACGACGGCAGCTGCAGGTACGTCGTCCGGGCCTGCACCGACCCGACGGCGCTCAACTTTGCCGCACGGGGCGACCCGCCCGCGAGCCTCGTCTTTGAGCCAGACCCTGCGTCGTGCGTGCCAAACCGGACGGGCTGCGTGGCTCCGTCGGCGCTCAACTACGACGCCTTGGCGACGTTCTACGACGGCTCGTGCTCCTTCGCGGTGGTCGGCTGCCGCGACCCCTCCGCGCTCAACTACAACCCGCTCGCAGAGGTGGACGCGGTCGGCAACCGCTCGTGTGACCTGCCTCGACTCGGCTGCGCCTTTGCATCGGCAGCCAACTACGACGCGGACGCGACGGTGGACGACGGCAGCTGCGACTTTCCACTCGCGGGGTGCACCGACGCGCGCGCGGCCAACTACCTGCCGATCGCCACCTCGGACGACGGCTCGTGCGCCATCCTCGGCTGCACGCGCCCCGGTGCGAGGGACTTTGACCCCGAGACCAACGTGTACGACGGCTCGTGCCCGCCCACGCCCGCAGGCTGCACCGACCCGGCGGCAGCAAACTATGCGGCGTGGGCGGACGTCTCCGACGCGGGCCTGTGCCGCTACGGCGGCTGCACCGACCCGCTGGCCGTCAACTTTGCGCCGTCCGCCACGTTTGGCGACGGGTCGTGCGTCGCGCCGCTGCTCGGCTGCACCAACAGCTCGGCCGCAAACTACAACCCGCTCGCGCAGCGCAACGACGGCGGCCGATGCGAGCCGCTGCGGACCTTCTTCTTGGGGGAGGGGGAGGAGTCCCCCGGCCGTGCGCTGTCGGAGAGGGCGCCAGGGCTGCTCTACGGATGCACCGACCCGAGCGCCGTCAACTTCCAGCCGCTCGCGACCGCCGACGACGACAGCTGCGTCGCCCTCGTGCTTGGTTGCATGGACACGGAGGCGCTCAACCACGACCCGGCCGCCACGCGCTCGGAGGGGTGCGAGTACGAGGTGGTCGGCTGCGACGACGCGGCCGCCCTCAACTTCTTGCGCCAGGCGACGCGCGGCTGCGCCGATTGCTGCTTGCCTCGCGTGCCCGGCTGTATGGCGCGCGGCGCGCCGCCGTACGAGGCGTCCAACTTTGAACCCGAGGCGACGGTCGACGACGGCTCGTGCAGCTTTGTGCTCTCCGCGTGCCTCGACCCGCTCGCGGCCAACCACATTCCTGGCTTGAGCGGAATCGCCGCCGTCACCACCATCAGCAGCGGGTGCGAGTACGCGGGCTGCACCAACCCTGACGCGGCCAACCACGACCCGCGAGCGACGGTGGAGGATGGATCGTGCGAGCGGCCGCCGCGCGGGTGCACGCAGCCCGCCGCGGCCAACTTTGTCCCCGCGGCGCGCCTCGACGACGGCTCGTGCGTCGTGATTGGCTGCACCGACCCGGCGCGCAAGGAGTTCCGCCCACAGGCGACGGTGGACGACGGCACGTGCTCGTGGTCCGTGCTCGGCTGCAGGTCGCCGAGCGCGGACAACTACCTGCCCGCGGCGACGGCGGGCGGGCCGGAGCTCTGCGCGGAGGCGGGCTGCACGCACGCCGTCGCCCTCAACTACGACCCCGCCGCCGACCTGTACATGGAGGGGGCTTGCGAGTGGGCGCGCGGCGGCTGCACTGCCTTACACGCGCTCAACTACCTCGCGTCAGCGACGGTTGACGACGGCAGCTGCTACGTCCTCGGCTGCACCGACTTGCTCGCCAACAACTACGCGGACAACGCCACCGCAAACGACGGGTCCTGCCTCATCTACCGAGGCTGCACCGAGGCGAGCGCGCCGCCCGCGACCCCCAGCGCACCCACCACACTCACCACACACATGCACGCACGCACGCGCCTCACCCACCACACACCACACACACGCACGCACGCACACACGCACACACGCACGCACGCACGCACGCACGCACGCACGCACGCACGCACGCACGCACGCACGCACGCACGCACGCACGCACGCACGCACGCACGCACGCACGCACGCACGCGCACCCTGCTTGTAACGCACTCCGAGCCCACCGCCCTCCGCCGACCGCAGGACCGCGCCGACAACTTCAACCCCATCGCGCGCGTCGACGACGACAGCTGTCTGTATGTCGGGTGCACCGACTCGTACGCATCCAACTACGACGTCCTCGCGACGAT